AAAAATTAGGGAAAAGAGTTAGATAATAAAATAGAAAAAAAAAATATAAAATTATACAGCAAGTAAGATAAAAATTGCAGCAAAATTGAAAAATAGACAAATCGATAGAGATAAGATAAGACTAAATTGGATGATAGCAACAATAATTTTTGTCCACTTATCTACAATGCCCTGAATGTGCGAGTAATATTAATTTCACATTGGATGAATATTAAATTATATTTGAATATATCTTAAACGTTCTATGTAATGTTGTAGCAATAACTATGCAGTTTTACTATGTTACTTTTGCTACATTTTGTGCTGATATCCTGCGAACATTTGGAATTTCTCGATTGTCGATCCTTTGACAATGCTCGTTTTTTCGCATCGCACTTTTGACGATCCTCAGGACATCGATTATCTTTCCAAGTGCACGGTATCCGCTCTTTTAGTTCGGGACACGTGTAATGTTTGGATTCTGTCCTCTGTCGGTTTTTACAAGCGTCATCTTGGGATGAGATACAATTTCGGTCGACCGAATTTTTCCGCCGCGAGCGCGTTTTCCCGCAGATATTTTTGTTCTCGACACGACGACAGTCCGTTGCGACCTTCTGAGAACACGAACCGTAGTCTTTGATCTTTCCTTCGACTTTCGATCGCGACTTATCGTCCTCGCAGTCGACGGATTTTTTCGACCTTGAAGCGTCGCAGGAAAATTGCAGTTTTGCCAGGGAACCGTAGCCTGCGATTGATAATCTCTCGTTGAAGGTAAAATATTTAATTCGCTAATATAAAGGTGAATTAGATTTAAAACTATTATTCTTATTACATTTTTACTGATAAATTATATTAGATTACTTAATCTGCATTGATTAAATGCATATAACGAGGGCAGATTAAAGGATTACATGTAAGTTACAAATTTAATAAATTGAGAAATTATTATCGAGAAGGAAAAATACCTGAATGTGATCGCGTGCTTTTCAAGCGAATAACTGATGCATTCGCGTTCAAATCTTTTATAGAATTTTCAATCGTTCGTACAGGCTTCTGAATCGCGGTGCAACTTTTTGAGGAGAAAATGCGACGCGATATAGAAGGTAGACACGACAAGGGACTTCGAGATTCTTGATTTCTTGAACTTCCGGAATGAGCTAATTGATCAAATCGAGACGACTCATACGCGCTTTCTTCTTGTCTCATTGTCCGAAAATCGGAAGTGAAGAAACGATGATCATCACGTTTTATTACGTCATTCTCAATTTTAGAGATCTTCCAAGCGCGATATGATCGTTTTACAGAGGAATATTCTGACAGAACGTCGCGTGGAATTTCTATAAATTTTAGATAATGTTTCGTAAAATTCAACATTTTAATATATATGATAATTAAATTCATGGAATTTCTCTTTACCTATTTTTGCATGCGATTTCGCTGTATTTTTTATACATTTTTGCGTTTTCATTATTACACTCGATTCCTGCATTGTTTTAAATAAAGATGGCAATGGTTTAGAGACGATTGCAGGCGTTTGCAAGTTACAAATAATTTGTAAAAATTGTGGAATCTGTTGGGTCATCGTGCTCGAAAAAAGATTTCTCTGCATGTAAGTTCGAGATTCCGGAGATTGCGATGAGTCATATTTTCGTAAATGTTGATTATGTTGTAATTGTTGCTGCTTGATTTCTGATGTTTCTAATCTCGACTTTACGAAAAATGGAGAATCCATATTTTTCGGAGCGATGCAATTTGGCAAATCATCAGTCCATATTTGCGTAATCATACGATTAATTTTGGATTTTTATTTTTTTGAAGCATAAAAATTACTTTTGAATTGCGATTATTAGCAACCGTCACATTGTTATCATTTTCTATAAAGCTGTTATCATCAGTCTGGCTATTTGAAAACATCTGATGATCTGACTTCCTTCTAGACATTGAATTTCCACTTATCAATTCATTGAATTTGATGAGAGGCTTTAACATCTCTGAACATATTATTTCCGTATTCGTTTTAGAATGCAAAAAGTGCATAGGAAATTGAAAATTGGTAGTTATTGCAGTGATTTCAGGTAAAGCCATCCATGTTGTATAAATAGATTCCAGATTGTTAGAGATTGTTGATAAATTAATTTGCCTGCTCTCATAAACATTTTTCTTCTTGCGAGAAAATTTTAGAAACCTCAAAAGGCAGCACTTAAATGTATTCAAGGACAGGTGTGTTTCATGCTAATTTATTATAAAGAAACAAATTATTCAAAAAGCATAATTTAATATTAAATTAATCGAATTGAATATTAAACACGATTGGGTTATTTATGTTAAACTTAAAATAATTCTTATTTTTATGTATATCTTTTAATTTGCAAATTAGTCTTGATATCAAAATCAATGCAAATTGCAACTTGTTAAAAATATACATTATTTATAACCAACAAATAATTTTTTTGAAACGAGTTGATACCCGCAAAGATTTAGTAGCCAAAATGTGTGATAAATCTTGCAATGCCCATATCCTGAATCCGCTCATTTTGTTCCGTAGTTATGACATTTAATTAAAATAGCGTAAGACGTAATCCACTTGAAATTTTGAGGGTTTGCAATACCAGAGAATTTTATTATAAGTGTCAGGATTGATCTGAAGCTTTAATATATCGTTTTGAAAATAGCATTGCGTTCAACAATCGACAGTCGATTGCGCGAATATCAAAACACCCACTGATAAAATAACCCAAATTGAAAGACTCTCATGGCAGAATCTCATATTTCCTAAACGATACTGGACACACGCTGAATATAAATAGCACACATAAAAGTAATATATATATATATATTATAAAAATAATATATAAATTATTGTAACAAATAACAACAATAATGTATGCATGCACATGATAATTTTATATTATTTTTTCAATGATCGGCTGCGAGCCGATTATCATTGGAAAATATCGGTTACAGAATTTTCTGACGAAAAACCGCATCATTGCGTATTCGCGCCTTTGAAAAATTGAAAAATCTTATTATGCGGAAAAATCTGATCAGACGTCGGTCGAATATGTGTAATATAATATTTGCACTCGCCGCAGTTTTTAATGTGATATAACGCAATGCTCGTCGCGCGAACGAGTTTAATGATCAGCGAACGTGACTCTACGCTTGCTGGCGTTTGCTTTTCTTCCTCCGCGAGCCTTGACCTTCTTGGATTGAAATGCGAATTTTAAAGTTTCGAGATGCTCGCTAGATTCTTCCTTCGCAAGCTCGTTGCCGTCTCTCGTGCTATTATTGGACGTGGCCTGTTGCAACGAACTCCAAAATTCACTCTGTGCACACAAGTTATTATTTTATTTGCGATTATAATTAAAATTAAAAATTTACAATTATGATTTATTTATTTATTAAATTTTAAAAATTTACAATTGTGATTTATTAACTATTTATAATTAACTATTTATAAATCGTTAATAAATTGTGATTTATAATTTATTAACAATTTATGAATTAGAGTCGATACGATTTATTTGATTATTATTATGTAAGGATTATTATGTAAGGATATTTATACTTTAGTAAGGAAAGATCACTCTTTACATATTCATTATTTACTTGGCATCGAGAGATGGAAGTTGACTGGTCCGGATTTTGTTTTGATGGTCGCGCGGTAGACGAACTTCTATCCAGCAGAATTCGCTCTTGGTCGTTCTCCATTGATCGAGGATCGAGCGAAACGGATCCCATAACTTCGTCTTGCTACTGCCGTAGGCATGCACCTTCGAGATGTATATAAAAAAGTTATTATAGAACATGATTTAAAGTAGAGTAAAGTTTATTAAGATAGAATTTAGGATGTAGGAATTTACCGATGTAGCGTTTTCGGAAGTAGAGAGTAACCTACTTTTTAAATTCTTAAAAGTAGAAAGCAGTTTACACGATATGTATATCTTATTTTTGTTCATATCAGTTTATGACATCTATATATAATTTGTATAAAATAATTCTTTCCTCAGAGGGGAAAATTTATAATTCTTTTATAACCAAAAAGAACATTTTACGTCATTACGTTTTTACATTGCGAAACAGATTACGATCGGTATTTCGAGATGTAAATCTTTATCGCTCATTTACTTTTCTATGAATATTTTCATTGAAAGTATTATAAAGCATAATTTAAATTCTCAAGAAGACAGCAAGATTTAATACATAATATATAATATAATTAACATATAATTATATACAATATTTATATATATTTAGTATATAATATATAATTATATATAATATTTATATATAATATATATTTAATATATATATATATATATATATATATATATATTATGTAACATTTATATATAACATTTAATATATAATTTAATTTATAATTTTCTTATAGATATCCGCATTTTTTATTCGTTTGCTTATATCTATTCCAATTAAAGGACTTGTCCGTAGACAAGTAGAATATATGAATACATATGCATTTACATTATCGTACATATATTCTACTTGTCTGCGAGCATACCGTTGTAATCACCTCATTGCACAATACCGTTCGTCCAAAGTCGAGTGCATCCACGAAGCGTTACTTAATCCGTAATAAGGATGTTGCAGAACTTGGAACTTGGTCTACGTCGTTTCCAACCACATTAACGAGCCAAGTTCTTGTTGTTGACGGCTGATACTCGCGAGGAGTAATTTAAGCGCGCACTTTGTTGCAGGCGGTGCAACACAGTTAATGAGTAGAATTGGCGAAGCAGTTCGCCAAAGCATTAGAACGAGAGTACGAAGTTGCACGAGCAAGTTTCGTACCGAACAGGACAGCGAGGGGTTGAAAAAAAAAAGCGAGCGTGCTCTCATATCCTCCATAATATAATCATATCACTGTTATCATAATGTAATCATCAAAAACAAATCTCTTTCAAATTGACATTTCCAGATTAATTAATAGTAATAAAGCGAGTGGCAGTAAAATTTATTAATAAACGAATTTGTGATGTCGATAATAATCGATTTTACCTCGTTGAAATTGAACAAATTGAACTCGCGATAAATTCGGCGAAGAATTATTATGCGACGATTACGCGATACGCTCTATCAGGGAAGTCAGGGAACCAACAAAATTTTATTTGACTCGCGTATTTCAATGTCCGACTGCGCGATTTAACGTTCGCGATACGACGGCAATCAATTTTACTTAATGAACACCGCCCGTTCGCGCGCGCGCAAAACGAGTGCACTTCTCTATGGACGCCTCGAGTTCGATTAATTCGAAACAAAGTTAAAGTCAGGTGACGTCCAGCCGGCAGCGCGAACGAGCGCAATCGAGCGAGTACAGGCGAGTAACGTAATACGGAGTCAGACTACCCGAGCGATCTGACAGCCGGCTCGGCTCGACACAAAATCGGCCGGCGCATCCGATCGTTCGGGGCACACAGCCCGAATTGTACGAGGCAACGTAAATTAAATTACAAATAAATGCCACATGACGCACCGAGCCAAAGCGTTATTACAAATAGGTTTGAAGAATAATAATGTAATCTGGTACACAAGAGCGCCTGTACCTGTACAATTAAACGATCGCGCCGACGAGTATATCAGTAACGAAATTACTAATTAACGTAAATAATATGACAGTAAATTAATATATTTTGTTATTTGTGTACGTAATTAAGAGAATCCGTGACAAAAAAAGTGTTGTAAATAGTATTAATTGTCAATGGCGCGCGTATTCCGTATTACCAAATATATTATTAATTGTCATAAAGAATGATAATATCGATTAATTGTGAAAAATATTTCTCTTCAATGATTAAAATCTTAACTTATTCTGTTGGGTCTGGTGATAAGTCAGGTCTGGTTTTAACTCAGTTCTAAATAGTTTAAATTGCTAAAATTACTTTATAATATATCTTGTGTATAATGCATGTAATAATATATTATATTAGAGAGACCCGATTACGCAATGTTTCGACCGAGAAGAGCCGGGTTTCATTGGAGCATGCTCTGTGGAAGAGACAAACGTCAGTGGCGAACAGATCGATTGTTCGCGTCCATGGAAACCACGGTTGGACCAATGCGAAGAGGCTACTCTCCTTTTTGGACAGGCGCATCTGCCTTTTCCACCCACGCGGCCTCTAACCAATATATTATAATTTATTTATTTATATATAATTAATTTTATATAATAATCTCTATATATATGTAATTTTTCAAAT